CTCAGGGGCAACAGTTTTACTGCTATAGGCTCTACCCGTTTGACATTTTTTTCCACATCGTTCGTTCTGTTGGTAGAAAAATACGAGTAGATTCTAGGAAGCCACGCAAAGTGTGATATACGGAAGTATAGCACATACACACCAACACTTAAAAAATATGCACCTCTAAACCTCAAGCCAAAACTGTATACACAAATCCCTTTAATCTACAAACCCTCCGTCACATACACAGAGTAACAAACATATTTAAATACAATTTTTACACTGCTTTTATATGCAGTAATGTTTGACTGCCAGTTCTAAGAGGATTACATAACGTAATAAAAAAAAATTACAAAAATACTTAAACTCAAACTGGGGTCCGCGAGTCATGTTCGAAATTTCGTAAAAAGAAAAAAAAAGATTTACAGAATAAAAAAATGTTTTTCGTGAAATTAAATCTATAAGAATTAAAACATTTAATTTTGGAATTCAGCTTTTCATGTATATGGAATCTTCAAAACCAAAAGCATCTATCTGGTTTGGAGGTCCGCGAAAAAAAATTGAATGAAAAGGGGTCTTCAAGTTTCTAAAGTTTGAGAACCGCTGTTATATATATACACTCAAACGTACATACATAAAACTCAATTTTAGTGTTCATGGTAGCATTACATTTCTTTATCAGTTCGTGCGTGTAGTATTATTCTTCACGATGCTCTGTGAAATCCCAGTGAATAGACGTTAAAATCCATAAAATACATGAACGAATATAACTTATGAAGAGCATATGCGCAAAACACAGTATACGTCATTCCCGATCAAACTGAACAGCCAATGGCATTGTATTGATTGTTTTCAGTTATTAAGTTAAACAAAATCCTAAAGATAATATTGTAAATTTTCGTGTGTGTTTTATGAGATATACCCTCCCCGTCCCTTAAAACACACATAAAAAGCAGATGTTTTAAAGATAAAGTTGATTTTTCTAGCACTTTGCCATTTGAACAAGAAGCTTTTTTTTTCAAAATTCTACAACACTCCCTGCACTTAACACTTCTAAAACACGCCGATTTAAAATAAATGTACTCGTTTATATCTTCCCCATATACAATTTGTTGCAAAAAATGAGGGGAGGGGGTTAATGACACTTAAACATACATTTCACGAACATAAAGACGACTTGAGTAAGAGTAATTTATTAAGATTAACTTGTTCCATGAAATATCGCGCAAGAGAGAGAACGTATCTCCTACTTACTACCACTTAATCAACATTCACACTGAGACTTAATCAATATTACATGCTTTTCCGTTTCTAGCCTTGGACCTAAAAACATGAAAGACAGTGTCATTTGTTTTCATTCCCTCTTAATTTATTCTCAGCGCAGTTACACGTACTTCAACCTTTCAAGTTACTTGTACTGCGTTTAGAGTATTCACGTTAACTCCTATACTTTTCGACACGCAACAAGTTAAACTAGATGTCGCGACGAATGCAATATATCCATAATTCCTTATACATATATTGATGTTATCATAATAAAACTTCCTACGAACGAGCGTTCATGCTGTTTCTTTCTTACCTTATATATATTTGTGTGTAAGAAACATATACGAAAATGGGAACTTGCTATACAATTTTCTGTAAACACTCTAATAGAATGTTGTTTATTACAGGTCTATAATTTAACTATTTTCAAGATATAAGCTTTAACAAATTTAACTACTCACATCTAAATGTGTATTTTATATATAGTGTTATGTCAGAATATTGGTTAGTGTTTTTCATACAATGTAAGTACAAGTTTCTTCTATATAGTGTTATGTCAGAATATTGGTTAGTGTTTTTCATACAATGTAAGTACAAGTTTCTTCTATATAGTGTTATGTCAGAATATTGGTTAGTGTTTTTCATACAATGTAAGTACAAGTTTCTTTATCTGTTCTCAGATTTGGTGGAATTCGAACCATAGCAGTTAAAGACGAAGATGTCTTGATCCAAGAGTTTTGAAATGGGAGCCACAGGAAAAGTTCAGAGGCTGTAGCAAATACAAAATAATGTTCAGGTATTCAGTGTCTAAAGATTCATTGCGTAGGGGCTTCAGTCAGGATACAGAATTTAATGGTAGACTTTGTGATGAGAAGGTTTAGGAACCCATTTCTTAACAAACTAGTCACGTCGTGAATTTTACAATTTACAAATCTCAGGTTTCACTTCTGTATATGTTTGGAAAGACTTTCAATTGAATTCCATCAGCCAGCTTGCAAAACTGAATGTCCGGTTATCAGTGCCGATTTATAGGTAGTTTTTAACTTACTGAAAGTTTCTATCTATATGTATAAATAATCAAACTCTAAGCTGACAAAAAAAAAAAAAAAAAAAACAAGTGAGAGATTCTGATCATTACCATCCGATTTGTTTAGCTCACGAGTGGGAATCTGAATGTTACCATCCGATTTGTTTAGCTCACGAGTGGGATTCTAAGCATTACCATCCGATTTGCTTAGCTCACGAGTGGGTTTATGAGCATTACATCCAATTCTTTTTGCTCACGAGTGGGATTCTGAGTGTTACCATCCGATTTGTTTAGCTCACGAGAGGGATTCAGAGCATTAACATCCAATTTTATTTTAGCTCACGAATGAGATTCTGAGCATTACCATCCGATATGCTTAGCTCACGAGTGGGATTCAGAGCATTACCATCCGATTTCCTTAGCTCACGAGTGGGTTTCTGAGCATTAACATCCAATTTTTTTAGCTCACAAGTGGGATTCTGAGTGTTACCATATGATCTGTTTAGCTCACGAGTCTTCCCAATTCACCTTAAGTAACCACGAAGTGAAAACTGAAGAGTTTCGGCAAGTGATACGTGGTAGCTTAATTGGCTAGAGAATATCTCGGGTTAGTAGAGTCGAATCGTATCAAACTATAATTTTCATTCCTTCAGAAAATTTCTAAACTTACAAGACAGTTAATGTGCCACCCTTACGTTCCAATTACGACATATTACAAGATATTGATTACACAAATACTATGAAACCCAACTTACTTCTACCTCTCTATTGTATCATTAACTTTCACGTACGAGTTCTTCAACTTTAGCAAAATATTTCGTATTAATGTTCTTAATTTCAGGATCAGTAGAAAATAGTTTGAATTAAGAGTTAATTATCCTGACTCGATAAATGAGCGATAACCTCGCTTCAGTAATATTTTATTTACTTGTATCTCATTTAGAATATAAAGGAAAATAAATACGTTATGAAGCTATCATATATGAATGTAGTGGTAGACAACATAGTATATATTAGGGGTGTGTATCTCATCATAGTAGTCGATACGATACGTATCTAGATACAGAAGTTTTACCAACGGTTTGTTACAAAGTTTGACAGTCCTGTCTGTAATTTATTATATATATTACTAACATTGTCTAATTTCAGTACTCCACACTTTACAGTGCTTTTTCAAATTTTCAGGTTTGATCAACTAAATGGCAGCTGGCAAGAGAAGTAAAATTAAAAAAAGGTAATATCTGTCTATCTATTTTGTTGTTGTTAATTTGTTATGTTACTTTGCATGTAATATTTTTGATAAAAGAAATAAAAACAACACGTAGTACTCAATACTCATCTTCCTTTATTTAGTAAAAATACTTTATTAGAAATTCTAATTTTTTTCTGCGCAAAAGACATACGTTTACTGAAAGCTTGCCAAGTTTCGTGAAGATACATAAACCGTACCGTACTGGACGATGTATTGATACGGCTTCACAATTCGGTGCTCGTATCGTCACATATTTAGTATATATGGTAGAAAAAATGGTATTTTTCAGATTAACACCTGATTGATCCTAAGAACTGTTACATAACTTAAGTTCTGCTGCTTGTAAAAATGTTTAAATCATTCAGGTCTTATTATGTAGAACCACCAACCATATCATCTCTTGCAGGAACAGTGTACAACAGAAAATAACATTTTACTTTTTAAAAATATTCACAGAAGTTCTCCGTATTTGAAAGTAACGTAAATTAAAAACAAAAAGTTATTACAAGTTTTGAAAGGGTATGCAATTTCAGTAAACAACAAGATTACGAAACTACGTCTGAAAAACAAAACAAATTCACAAGAGTTTTACTCTAAAAAAAATTAAGTCAAAATTCCTCCAACTGGTGCTAAGTTTGCCAGTTAGTTTTGGTTTTTGTGTATAGCGCCATCATGCCGCGTGACTTAATATAATTCGGCACACGTTCATACTGTGCATGGTGTAATAATACTGTTGAACAGTGATAAGTGCCTAGTAAAAAAAAAAAAGTTATATTAAATAATATATTGATCTGCATCAAAATGTGACTTTTTCTGAACAACGGTTTAGTTTCACCCTTGAACTGATAAACCTTTCCTTACGTCTATGATAAATTAAATAAAATGCACCCAGAAAACCAGGTGACACTAGTCGTTACTGCTTTTTGTTTGTAGTTAAGCGCAAAGCTACACAAAGAACTATCTGTGCTATGCCCATCACGGGTATCGAAACCCGGTTTTAGTATTACATATAAGCCTTGAGATTTACCTTTGAACCACCTGGGAGAAAGGTCTTTACTATTACTAAAGATAAACAGAAAATTTATTAAAAGGTTCCCCCCTTTTTTATATAAAAAGAAAATAAATAAAATCAATACTTTGATGAAATAGCCAGAACGCCTACACGTTTGCTAATAATTTAGGAAATAGCCTCGATCTCACTCAGTCATTTTTGGTTGTTGTTCTTGATACAATCCTACATTTATATTTTAATAAAAAAAAGAAGTCATATTATTTGAATTACACATCAGAATATATCCAGGTTCAATGATATTAAAGTTGAAAAGTATAGGTAGAAATTCTGTAGTACAACTATTTAAATCATTTAGTATTAGCCCAGACTTAATAAGTTAAGATTTTATGCGGACATATAACATTCATGAATTAGAAGTGAAAAGAAAAACGGTTGAACAAAGCCGTGCAAAGCGAACTCACCATTGCAGTGTGAAGGATGCTCAAGCTCTAACTTAACGGCTGCAGGTGTCCTATGGGTGTAAGATCTGTAGCTGTTAGTGTATGTCTTGTCTTCCTGCTATAGGTTGAGGCTCAGTCCAATCACCAATTAGAACTTACAAAGCAGCTGGGTGGTGGTCACACGCGAAACAAAACTCTCTGCTGCTCGCTGTAGAGAAAGAGAGTGTAGTTTTGAATTAGTCAATATACATTGTAGTTGTTCCAATAATATCCTGTAACAGACATGCGTCATTCCAAGCTTGCTTTCAGTAATACACGTTTCTATCGTAAAATAGCTAAACTAAGAAAGTATGCAACAGTTGAGAGGCACTTCCATTTTATTTAGAAGGTAAAGCGGGATCTACAAAATGCACGGCATATATACAACTCGTAAGAACAAAAATTACAATAATAAAGCATACAACATAAAAAAAAAGGGAACGGTCGACGTAGTTACTAAATGTAGTCCCAAAAATTGCAAACTGTTTGCAACTTGATTTTATCATTAATACTGATTAAACGCCAAAACATTTTTTTGTTATTAAATTTTTGCGCAAAGCTACTCAAAGGCTATCTGCGCTAGCAATTTCTACTTTTGAAGCGATAGCTGGAGGGAAACCAACTAGTTAACAATGCCCACCGCCATCTCTTGGGCTACTCTTATCAACGAACAGTGGGATGGATCGTTATATTATAACGACTCAAAAGACGAGCATGTTCAGTGACGAAACTCTAATCCGCGACCCACAGATTGCGAACTGAGTGTTCTAATCACCAGGTAATGCCGGGCCCACCACCAAAACAGTTCAGTAGCATCGTACTAACATAAAAAACAACAACAGTGTTTTCAGTTAGGGTTTGTTAACAGAAGCACAACACAACTAAGATAATCAAAAACACGGTAACAAGAGCTAGAGAAGTCATACAATAACGATAATGACCTTCGCGTAAAAGTTCGTTTTGAGAAAACTCGTCAACCAAAAAACATCTACGAACGGAAAACAAATATTAATAAGCGAGGTTTAAAAACTAATTTTGGTTATTTTTTATTAATAGACATTTCTAAAAATGCACTTAAAACATTATACCGAGTAAACTTAAAACACAAAATATTATTTGATTAAGTCAGCTGGTAGCAGCAGCGCCATGCAAGATATTTTAGTTTCATATTTTTGAGGTAACTGTATTTCGCTTTTGCAAAATTATGGAATAAACACTTGAAAATACCGAGAAAATGTACACTAACATGTTACGTACAAAAACCAAATCTACGCTCATAGGACTTCATATATTTATACATTTATGCAAAAGGGAAACTATACTATAGCATTTAAGATAAACATATGAGTGATATACAGCAATTTATTTAACGACTAGCTGTTGATTTACAAAATCCATTAAATAGAAACTGCTTTGAAACTAAAATGAAATAGTTGTCTTAAAATATATGTTTATTCAAAATATCATACGAAAATTTAAAAAAATCTGAGATATGTTCTGGTGTAAAAAGTTTATACCGAGAAGCAAGTTTAAACACGGTCTATACAAGAAACAACTGAAGCCTACAAAATATATTATTGATCACTGCCAAAATAACAGGTTCTTTTAAAAGATTTCTCTGTCTGTACATAAAACAATTCAAGTCTAGAAAATGTATTGTTGACCACTGCAAAAATAAAAGGTTCTTTTAAAAGATTCCTCTGTCTATACAAGAAACAACTGAAGCCTAGAAAAGGTATTGTTGACCACTGCAAAAATAAAAGATTCTTTTTAAAAGATTTCTCTGTCTGTACATGAAACAACTGAAGCCTAGAAAATGTATTGTTGACCACTGCAAAAATAAAAGGTTCTTTTAAAAGATTTCTCTGTCTATACAAGAAACAACTGAAGCCTAGAAAATGTATTGTTGACCACTGCAAAAATAAAAGGTTCTTTTAAAAGATTTCTCTGTCTGTACATAAAACAATTGAAGTCTAGAAAATGTATTGTTGACCACTGCAAAAATAAATATTCTTTTAAAAGATTTTTCTGTTTATACATGAAACAACTGAAGCCTACAAAATGTATTGTTGACCACTGCAAAAATAAAAGGTTCTTTTAAAAGATTCATTTTTCTGAAAATACAGAACAAACTATGGGACTGAAAAATCTAAATATAGTTAAATATACATAAATAACTCATATTTCACTAATAATAAATGTAAATTTCCATGACGAAGTCCATTACGTTGCGTGTGATGACATTTTTATTATGCAAGTTCTAATAACGCTGTTAATGAAGTCCCACATCAAAAATGATGCAAGATCGTTTTACTTCAACAGATTTGTATTAGTTAATTATGAAACATCATGACTACAATATCGAAATAGGTTATTTTTGCCTATTTTGAGCTAAAATAGGATATAAAGGATGAAAAAGAAAATAAAGACTTGTTACCGTTAATTGTATTCAAGATGTCATTAGTGACTTATGTCAAAAATATCAGTATAGTGTAATATCCATGACACATTCAATACTGTGTAATATCCATGACACATTCAATACTGTGTAATATCCATGGCACATTCAATACTGTGTAATATCCATGGCACATTCAATACTGTGTAATATCCATGACACATTCAATACAGTGTAATATCTATGACACATTCAATACAGTGTAATATCCATGACACATTCAATACAGTGTAATATCTATGACACATCAATACAGTGTAATATCCATGACACATCAATACAGTGTAATATCCATGACACATTCAATACAGTGTAATATCTATGATACATTCAATACAGTGTAATATCTATAGCATTCAATTTGGTACACTTGCTACGGTTTAAACGCTGAAACCTAGCGAAGCATTACAAAACAACAGGACTAAAGTTTTCGCCAAACATTCACGTTAACTACAGATATTTCATCTTTTGTCTCTCATCAGTGGGATCTGTCACAAAATATCCGTAATAAGAAAGTATGTAACAGTTAAGAAGCACTTCCACTTTATTTAGTAGGTCAAATGGGACCTGTCACAAAATAGCTGAAATAAGAAAGTATGTAACAGTTAAGAAGCACTTCCACTTTACTTAGTAGGTCAAATGGGATCTGTCACAAAATAGCTGAAATAAGAAAGTATGTAACAGTTAAGAAGCACTTCCACTTTACTTAGTAGGTCAAATGGGATCTGTCACAAAATAGCTGAAATAAGAAAGTATGTAACAGTTGAGAAACACTTACATTTTATTTAGTTGGTAAAGTGGGATCTAGAAAATCAACAGCATACATGCAGCCCTTATGAACAACAACAACAAAAAAAAACGAATAACAAATACACAACTTAAAAAAAGGGGGAGAGCAGTGGATGCGGAGTTACTAAATATATTTCCGAAAATTACAAACTGTGCTCTGCCAACCGCGGATATCAAAAACCCGATTTTTAGCGTTATAAGCCCTCAGACTTACCGCTGAGCCACATATGGGCGCTGCAGATGAGATCTGGTATTGGACGACGAGCTTCTTGGGCAATAGCCTGTAGGAAATAATACATAGTTCTGAAAATATATTTTTACACGCCTCTTATTTTGAATCGGAAATGGACAAATTAAGAATGAAACAAAAACAAACAAACAACAACAACAAAAATTCCTGCATTTTCGTGATTTTGATCACAAGTCTTAAGCTTATTATTGCATTTGTTATTTTGTGTTTTTTTTTTAATATTAAAGAAAACTTTACAATTAACTAGAATTTACCCACCATAACCAGGTGAAATAACATTTATAACACTTGGTATAAACAAACAACTATACAGAGGTTGAGTATACATTAAAAACGATTTCTTTAGCCTTACCACGTTGTTGCAGTCTATGTTGTCACGACCGGTCATGCTCTTTCTGACGACCGTGCATATTGCTACAGGCCTGCAACACAGTTTCCCTTTTAAAAAGCCCCCATCGCAAGGCTGCCATTTCAAAAGCACACACCTCTCCATGCAATGCTTTCGACATTCCAACATTATAATTTCGCAGCACCTATTTAAACAGTCTAATCACACAGAAATCCGTTGCGTCTGTTGTCTCGATCGGTATGTTTACATGAAAAATAACATGGTTACCCGTTTCATTCTCTAGTTGCTTAAGTTATGCGACTGTAATCTTTCTGGGTGGTCCTGTTTCACTTGTTAAAAACGCCAAATTTTTTGTTACCACGGCTGGGCTATGTTTATTGCGAGTCTCTTTCTGGATGGTCTTGGGACCCAAGTTGATACATGCTCCTTGGTTTTCCAATGTCCTTAAGTATAAGATATTCCTATCACAGAAATCATAAGTCCAGATCAGAACACATATTGATGATCTGACTGTATAAATGTCTAGCGTCTGAAAGGGCTATTCCATACCTTTACCAAAATGCAAAAGCGATCAATTTTCGGTGTGATCACACTACCTAAATGCTAAACATAGTAAAAATGTAGTTTGGACACGTGTCCTTCCACCGCGACTTTATATCGGCCATTGTTGTCACGTGAATTACAGTTTGTTTGTAATTAAGCACAAAGCTACACAATGGGCTATATGTGCTCTGCCCACCACGGGTATAGAAACCCGGATTCTAGCGTTGTAAGTCCGCAGACATACCGCTGTGCCACGGTGGGGCATGAATTACAGACTTCCACATTCAAAATCGTTTTAATATAACGTACTAAACCCTCTACGTGTAAAATATTATGAGTGATATCTGTTACTTGAGCTGATTCTATGTAATATATATATATAAATTAGCAGTCCAAATATAAACCCAGCTCTAATCTTTACAAATCTCTATCGTTTTGTCACGGATATGATCTAAGAAATTCTCGAATTTAATAAAATTATGCCTTTTACGAGACTTTACCTCCAGGGGTCGTATCATTCCAGCATCAGACTGACTCTTTGTTGTTAACTGCAAATCTACTACACAGTGAGTGTGCTCGACCCACCGAGTATATCGAAAGCCGATTTTTAGCGTTATAAACTCCAAGGCTTACCGCTGAGCCACAAGGGGGCGCTGCAGACTGAATGATATGAAACAGAGCAAATTAGAGTTTCAGTATTGTAATTCTTATATAATAATAAATTTGTCACTAGTTTTTTGGTGTTTTTTTCAGTATATATTTTGTAACGGATGCAAATACAAAACTTATTATCAGAATGTTGTTTTTTTAATTTTCTTGTATTTGTTACTCTCAAATATTACACCTTGCGGCTTTATCAGGGACACAACGTATACACAGTAACGAAGAGTTAAGTCTGTATTTTGTATTAAATTTCAGTGGTCGAGCTCCTTAACATAAAACTGCTTTGATTTACGTAATACATTATGGAAATAGTAATAAAAAAATTATTCTGTAATTTGGCAGCTACATGTCATATAAATAGTCTTGTAGCCTGTTGTTTACTATGAATATTGCTGATTTACATGCTTTTACAACATATATAAATTAAAATAACTTTTAATTTTTTAAGTCATAACTATAGCGCAGTGGATAGCGCGTTGGATTTCAAATCCAAAGGTACCGGGTTCGTTCGTAAAAAATTACTGCAACAACAACTTCCGTCGGCGAGGTGTTGTTGGGGCCCTATGCTCCAGTGGGAGTCTACAGGGACTATTATTTAAGTTATAAAAATATCTACCGCCTTCTAGTAATTATCAGTACTAACGGTCTTTAAAATATTAATTTACTAAATTCACTACATAAGTTTGGCAAGGTTAGTGAAATGTGGAATCGTAATACTATTAATTTCGTTCACTAAATTAAGCCATCTTCAATTTCAGAATTTTGTTACTTTGCCATCTAAACAAAGCACGAAAACGACTTCAACAAGAGAAGTTCCATTTGCTCAGGAGATAGTTTAAACTTGATGTATCTGACTACTTTTTGAAGTCATCTTCTGGGCAATCATTCAAAAATGCATACAACAGACATCAAACAAAAAAAAATTGGATGAAAGAAATATAATGAAAATTTATATACTTGTCCATATGAAAATACAAAATAAGTATATGAAAAGTAAAATATATTAAAAGATTAAATTGCGTTCATCTGTCAAAAGTTCTACTGTTCAACCAGAAATGTACTCGTGATCCGACTACTTTTCTTGTAGTCATCTTGTGGGCAAACACTTAAAAATGTAGACAACAAACACTGAGCTGGGATGAGACCGTTATAGGACAGGTTGGTTTTACCCTACTGAAACTACAGGCGAGAGGATAAGTACATTGATTGTGCACCTTTATATCATATACAAATGAGAAACTTTACATATATATACAACTTTAGGAGCCGAACATTTTCTGATATAGTACCAACTGATCAGCTCAAGCAAGTAATTTAGCAGTTGAAGAGTTTTCGATCGTAGTTTCATTAATAAATGTTTTCATATGAGGACAATTTACGATAAATGAAATTGTTTTGTCTTGCAAAAAAAAAAAGATTGTTGGAATGTAACTCAGGAAATTTATCATGTTAATGCATCATTTTTTAAAAATGAATTGCCTTCAAATGTGTTGGATGCATTACATTTAAGGAGGTTTATGGGAAGGATTGATAAATACTTGAATGATAAAGGCTGGTTTTGAATTATTTTTTTTATTAAGTTTAGCGGATGTTGTTCATCAATTTTATGTTATAATGGAAACAAAGCGGACTTTGAGAGTCATTCATGTGAAAGTACAAAGTAAGCGTGTGAAAAGCAAAAAATTCAAATGACATTTATCTGTCAAAAATTCAGTCATGAATTATAATTACTTAAATGAATATGTTATTTCTTTCATATCAGATATTTTTATATGAATTAGTGCTACTGTTAGTAGCACAGGCCTATAATTCATCATTTGTTTTGATAAGCACAAAACTACAAAATGGATAAATATGCTTGGTCTGTACTAAGTGTTAAAACCCAATTTCAACCATGGAGCATAATTCATTGTTACATAACTTTTGTTAAAATCAGTTCAGTCTGCATTCATCATAATTAACTTTCTCTACTTCTATAATTGTTATTACTTATTGGATATAGCTTGTGTAATCTTATTATAAAATAATTTAGCCATTTTATATACACTGAGTGGTCACAAGTATATAGACACCTAATTTTTCGTCATTTAACTGATTTATGCTAATTAATTTGTGTCCACAGAGCAATATATATAAATGAAAATGGTCCGCA